AGGTGATATTTTCACAGAAAAACGCTTTAATCCTGCTTTATTTTTTTGGTATAGGTTACACATGCACAGTCTATGTGTTCATTCACTCTGACATTCACCTGTCTACTGTTCTCTTCTATGCAGCGCAATCTTTACACTCTGAACACTTACTTGATTCTGTAGACATATTTGTTTTATGTGATTTTGGGCAATATATCTTTCTTTGACATTCACCAAAGATTTCTCTAAATAATTAGAGAGTGTTTCAGAATAGACTTTAACATATTATATGAGGTAAGTACTCTTTGAAGTTGCTTAGGGGCGTGTCCTTTCAAAATGGAATGGCTATCGTCAATCGGTAGCCAAGACTTTTCATTTTTCAGTTTTACCTTCTGATCCTTTTTATTGATAGTAGTATTATTTAGAAGCTTCTCGGCTAACCATTTCCATTCAAAATTTGATTTTTATATTGGAGATCTCATTCTGCATTCATTATCATCATTATCTGTTGCGATAATTCTAGCTCTCTCTCTCTCTCTAGGAGATTTAAAGCCACTGAAACTTTCATCTCTATTGGACAATCCTATTGGGAATATTCAAATACTTGTTCAAATGTGTCAGTTTCTCGTATACCATGAATTTTATTTAGTTTTCCATCAGGTTATCTTTTCTCAAGACAATCTAGAAAGTTTAGACTTCCATCATTCAATTCAACTTCATTAGTGAATTTTACATATTTTAAGGGATTAAGTGTTGTTCTGTTTCAGAAAGTTGTCTTTTTCATCAGCTTTTTGAGTGAGATGGTAAATGTATGTCATCTGCATGTGTCTGCACCATATTCTAAGATGACAGCACTAAAACTTGTCAGTTATTTTCTTTCTAGAGCTTTCATATACACAGATTTGCTACAATCGGGGATGCTGGAGTTATCTCATTGCATCTCTATAGCTATAACAATCAATGCATTGGATTTTAAATAATTTATTATTGATTCAGTCTGACAAGGTGGTCAAATTATTCCAGGAAATTTGTAACAACAATAGCTTTTGTCCACATAGCTTTAAACGTGGTCTAGTCAAGACTTTGTACTATAGAGCGAGGAGAATATGCTCTGTAGAGAAACTAGGGGAGTTTGAGTTCCTTGAAAATATATTGAAGAGAAATGGGTATCCTCAAGGGGTTCATCAACAAGTATGGAAGATATGAAATCACAAATTTAAAACAAATCACAGTGGAAAAAAAGCCAGTCTACGTTCAGCTTGATTATAAAGGTGAAAACATTGCAGCGATGATCAAAAGAAGGCTGAGTACATCACTAGCCATAGCCTATCCTGCAGCTAAGCTCGTTCCCGTCTATCGAACAACTTGCTCTTCTCTGGTGCAATCAAAAATCGATAGATATCCTTCTCATGTTAATCACTCCAACTGTATTTAAAAATTTACATGTTTTTGCGGGAGCAGTTACATTGGAAGGACATAAAGAAGGGCATATCTGCGATTTTATGAAGGTGTACCAAAAAGCTTACATCTAAAGGGAACAAATGTTTTAAACAGTGCCATTCATCGTCAGGCGTCTCCTCGACACGGGTCATGAGGTGTACGTCGAAAAGTCGTTCAAAATTATCAATAGGCAAAAGAGCTCAATTCTGCTTAAGCTTGCTGAAGCCATTTCCATCAAGCGCCTGAAACCTGATTTATGCGTCCAGAAAGAAGCGGTTATGAGTGTTTGTTTGCCCTGACTGGTAACTGGATAATTTCACCTCTCTTTCTTCCGAATGAAACGAAATGCTTACCCAAAAACGACAACAAAAAAAATTAAAAATACACAATACATAATAGTAATAAAACGATTGTTGTAGCAGCTACGTAGCAAAATACTGTGTGCCATACGGAGAAAAATATGTATAAAGTACAAAATTGTAGTAATAATAGTAATACCAACTAAAATAAAATAGCAGAGTAACGATTTAAACGATAGAAAGTGTGACACCATAAAATACAGAAAGATGAACGATAAAAGGGTCGATTCACTGTGCTAATTACATAGTAACTTGTAAGTTTCACGTCTAACAGAGTCTTCGTCACATAAAGTACGCGCTAAATAGGGTATTGTAGAATTTCTATACTTAGTAGTACGAGCATATATCTTTTTATATTGACTTCTCGTCCTACCTGATGAGATACAAGGGGACAGGTGTGAATAAAGGGGGTGCAGAGGGTCTGACATTATAGCCTTTGCCCATTTCGTACAGGAATTTATATGCCTCTCGACTATAGTATTAGCGAGCTCATGCAGTGGCAGACCACAAGCTCTACTCACAGCATTTAATACTCTTCGTAATATGATATAATCTTTTTTGAGAAGCCCAGGAAAGATTAATGGAGAGCAATAGAGTACAATAGGTAAAATACAGGAGTTTAAAAATTGCAAAACTAAAGGTTGGTTGATACCTGATTGTCTTAACTTTTTAATGTAGAAGGTAAGACGAAACATTTTCTTAGAGATAGATAAGATATGGGATGACCATGAAAGGTCAGAGGAAAAAACTAATCCAAGGTATTTAATGCTTGATTTGGTTTCAATTTCCGTGCCATCTATGCTACAGGGATCATGAGAGTTAACTAGTTCAAGTAAGTCACGTCGATGCTTGAAAGTAAAGTCAAGCGCCTGACATTTGGAAGGATTTAATATAAGACCATTTGACTTGGACCAGTTGTTGATGTCCAACAGAAAGCTATTAAGTTTGGAGCTGTCAGACTCGGAAGTGATAGGCAGTGATACAGTCAGATCATCTGCATATTTGACAAAGTTAGTTTCGTTTGAATGAGGCAGGTCATGTAGGAAGAAAGAAAAAAGAAAAGGAGAGAGGACAGCACCTTGTGGAACACCGGATTTTGTAAGCGAGGTAGAAGAAGATTTGCCGTTATATACAGTATACTGCATTCTATCAGAAAAATAGGAATGCAACCAACTCTTAGCCCAGGATCCTGTTTGTGTCAACGATAGCTTATTTAACAAAAGGCCCCTAGGTACAGAGTCAAAAGCAGATGTGTAGTCTAAGAAAGCACTACGAACATATTTAGCACCTTTGTCTAAACAAGAGACAACATTGTGATATAAGACAACCGCAGCATCCAAGGTACTTCTACCATGTTTGTATGCAAATTGTTTAGGATCATTAAAAGGTTTCAAAGCGGGTTCAAGACGAAGTAAAAGTAATTTTTCCATCAATTTTAAAAAGGGGGAAGTAATTGCAATAGGCCGAAATTTAATATCAGAACCAGAAGATGGTTTTGGTATAGGGATAATTTTAATGTTTTTCCATGCAAAAGGTAGAACGTTACCGGAAAAAGAAGCATTAAAAATGTTAGTAAGAGGATAACACAAAATATCAGCACAATTCCTGAGGACAATGGCAGGTATGCCGTCAGGACCAAGGCTTTGAGAAGGCTTAAGAGACCGGAGACATTTAAGCACATCAAGGGTATTAAAACCACTAAAGTTATTGTCAATATGATTTGTATCATTTGGAAGGGTATCAACAGAAGAGCGTATGAAAGATTTATTAAGAGTGTCAACATTAAGAGATGGAACAGAAATACATCGCTTACCGTTAGTAATTTCTTTGAAAAGTTTCCATAAATTAGAAGGGGTTTTACATGACAAAAATCTTTGATTATATAAAACACTTAGTCTTTTTATTTCCAGTTTTATCAGCATGTTTAACTTTTTTACACCAGGCTTATCATTAGTTTTGAACAACAGTTCTTTATTTCTACGTAGCTTTTTGAGATATGGCGAAGATAAGCGATCAAATCGAATGAATAATGTTTCTTTAGGACAACATATTTCGAAACAGAATTTAAGATAATCGGTAGTGTTTGTGATTGTTTCATCTAATGTTTGTTCTGTAAATAAGTCCCAGTTAGTGTCTTTCAACATGCATCTGAGCTTGTCTAGGTTGTCTTTTGAGTAGCATCTCCGTTGAACTTTACTGTAGAGGTGAGAGAGGACACCTTTGTGTGATTTGGAATATATTTTAGGCAGTACACGTATGATGCAGTGGTCAGAATTAAGTAGAGGAGCACGTTTGCGAGCTTCATATATACCAACATCATTGATGAATACTAGATCCAGTTTTTTACCAAGACGGGTGGCAAAGTTAACAATATTGTCATGACCAAGTGATATAAGGAAGGAGCAATCGCTTCCATTGAAGTCGCCAGTTACTATTGATAAAGAGTTCTCGAAACAAGCTGCAGCAAAAGCGGTGAATTCATCGGCGAACATAGATAAATCCAATATGGTACAGCCAGGAGAGACATAAACATTAGAAATATAAATGAATTTGTATTTTGACAGGTGTTTCGGGCGACATCTCACAGTGATGCAATCAATGAAGTCATTCGAGAATTTGAAACAAACTTTGTTTGAAATGGACCATTTTGAGTGAATAAAAGTTGCAACACCTCCACCACACTTTTTCTTGGAACAAATACGGTCTTGTCGAAAAACATTGAAATTGTTTAGAGACACAATATTGTCATCGTATGAGTCATGGAGCCAGGTTTCTTGCAGAGTGACAATACCAGTATTGTGGTAGGTACTAGAAGACAACAGAGACTGAAAATCCAGAATTTTATTAGGCAGGGACCGGCAGTTGGTACTAATGATAACTGGAACAGTGGTGTGATGTATGGGTGTAGATTTTAAGGCACGCTGCCAACCTCCATGGTGCTTTTTCTTGAGTTTATTGCAAATATGAAAGTTTTTGGGTTTAAAACGTTTTATAAAATCCCGGGAGTGGATAATACGATTAGAATGCATAATGTGATATGTAAATACCAATAAAATACGAGTAAATAGATGCAAAATGTACATGGAATGTGGTAGCCCAAAAATATTTAAACAGGCCGCCAAGGTCATCCAGTTATTTGTGGAGTTATTTGTAAAAGAGGAACAATTGGAAAGTGTTATAGATATTCGTAAACAAGATGGCCTAGGAGGGTTTTATCGTTATATGTATGATTCTCAAGGCGAAGGCAATGAATCGGACTCAGCTACAGAAACCTTTAATAAACAACAGTCAACTTCAGAGAAACAAAAGCTTTCAGAAACAGATCGTAAATCTTCACATGTGGATAAGCGTTCAACGAAAAAGTCTTTAGAAGAGAGTGCTAATAATCATGACACTAATGCAGACACCCAACGGAATATGAGTGACAACAGCAACAGCAGTAGCCGTAGTAGTGGTAGAAACAGAGATTCGTCACCTTCAGGGCAAAGAACTGCATCAGATCATGAAACGTTGGCATCCAGTGCACCAACAGCGGATGATTCTACTCAGTCGAAGAATGTTGAATCAAGATCTGATCTCGCATCAAAACTTAGCGTGAAACCAGGCGGTAATAGCGCTTATGCCGGTAAAAAAGGGTACAGCACATGTTACGATGGATCGTCACGTGTAACTACAGATGAAGAACTGGCTGCTGCTCGAGAACGTTATTTAGCAAGAAAAGCTGCTGGAATACATGCAGAGATTGTCGAATCAGATTAATTGTGTAGCTTATAGTCTGTATATGTATGTATGTATATATATTTGTATTTTTCTAAACTTTTACTCTGAGATATTCATCAAATATCGAATGGAATAAAAATTATTCTTTCATTTTGTAAATGTATTAACTTCATTCTGTTTAAAAGTTGTTGTAAATATTTTTTGAAATATCTTTTTGTGCGTCGGTGGCACAGTGGTTAGGACTCTCGCCGACCATGTACATGGTCCGAGGTTCGACCCCCCGACGACGCACACCTGATATCTATGGTCGGCCTGCAAAATTCGGGCTGCCGACATCCACGCTGAAAATTCCATACTTGTACCAAAAATACAGTGTGGAATCAAGCTGTAATCTGAAATAAAGCTGTTCAGTTATTTCGAGGTTTATTGATATATATATATATACAAAATCAACTGACAACATATACGACAGAGGTTACTGTCAGTTAGAAACACAGGAATAAGTCAAGGCGTACGACAAAAATATAACGAATAATCATCTTATGTCATCGAGACAACTGACAACTTATTACCAAACTGACCAACAGTCATTTGAATAAAAACGTATCTGGACACAAATTTCAGGGTTTTTTCTTATTCATGGCATTCATGCATTGGATGTATGAAGATGTATGAAAGCGAAATCCTTTCGAACTGTCTAATCTTACTTTAAATCATGACTTTCAATGAGAAGTCCCTGATGGTGCAGTGCATGACCAGAAGTAATAATGCGCCGTAGAATTGATTTGTTGACTGTTCTGTCTTCTCTTTTCGACAATAAAACAGGAGTAGGTGTTAAAAAACCACTAGACAATGTCCTGCTCCTACAGCGCCTATGTATTAGAACCTGCAGGAACTACTGAACTTGTAAATGCATGATAAAGTCGTCAACAGCGAGGGAGCTCTCGTCTTTGACATTTTGGTTGAACAAAAGCATGTATGGTGACGATGGTGAGGCGTGGAGATGCGCAGTAAAGATAAAAAATTCTGCTGCAGTATTTCACTAATATTATATCTCCATCTAAAATACAGATTTTAAATTTTTTATTTCTTCCACATGTCCAGGTTCCGAGGCGCATTAGTCTTTCCCTTTTTAATGTGCGTTGATGGAGAAAGTTGAATAGTAGCCCTTTACTGAATACAGTCAGTGTTCCTTAGAGACCAACCAATGTAACTTCGGGGCATATGCGATAGACTGCGATAGTCGCAGAGTAGGCGATGGGATTTATTTTTATGTCTGCAGGGACAAAATTCTGTCAAATTCTATCAGAAATTTGTTCCATTTTTTCAGCTTGTGGTTATTTGACCTTTGTAAAGTTCCATCTGTTGGTTTTGAAAGCTGAATATCTTAGGAAGCATTATTTACCGTCTGTTTCAACTTCGATTTTAAACTCGACTTACCGAGGAGTTTTGTTACAGATTCGGAAGACTTTACTTAGCTCAGTATTTTTAGTGATAATGATAAGGGCATCGTCCATGAATCGTTAGTAAATTTCGAACCACTTGATAGTAGTTGACTGAGGCTACTGAGCTCAATGTACACCATGAAACAATCGGCAAGTATTGGAACAAGTCGAGAAGTAATCACCTATTCGATTCTCTGTCGATATATGTGACCATTGGATAAAAACTGGACATTTATTGAACACCTCAGTATTAACTCTTTGATATGCTTAGTGGGCACACCAATACTCAGACTTTTTGATAAAGAAAGAAAGACCAGATTTGCAGTATAAAATGTGATATCATCATTCTATTTCACAGGTTCTCATCAGCTAACTGCAAACCACTACCTGAAATTACAATGCCAATTATAAATAATAACATTTCATACCTCATTGTTTGAAAGGTAATAGAGAAGACATTATAAGGTGAACGCCTCTGGAATATATATAAGTATTATAATCTAAGTCACCATCAATTTATATACTGTCAAACTATGAAAAAAGAAAAGAAAACTTGGACCGGACAATACCTTTATTACAACAGCTTCTGCCTCATGAGCTATAAGCGGGGATTTGTAAGGACACTGTACGACAGGGCCAGGAAGTTGTGTTCGCCTAACAAGGTAGAAGAAATATTAAGCTTTGTTGAAAAATGCCTTAAGGAAAACGAGTATCCAATAGGATTTATCCTAAAGTACAGCAAAGAAAGAGATGAGAAAGAGAAATCTCCAACAGTTGAAAAGAAAAAAGTGTTCATTTGCCTCGCATACAAGGGAGAAACCGTGCCGCAAAAGATCGAAAAGAGGATGAAGGGAGCAACAAAGAGATGCTTCCTTGCAGCCAATCTGGTGACACTATACAGTACTACATGCTCTATAAGCTAAACGAAACTGGATAAGTACCCTGCTAATATTACCTTCAACTGCATTTATAAATTTACGTGTACGTGAGTCAGCAAGTACATTGAAAGGACAGAAAGAAGGCAGGGCTTCTATCCGGTTTTCAGAGCATATTCCAAGAAGCTTATGCCTAAAAGGAAGCAGATATTTACAAAGTGCAATTATCAGACACCCACCGTGTGGATACGGGTCATTTTGTCGAGATTTGCAAATCCTCAAAATATTAAACATACAAAGGACAGCGAATCTACTACGATTTACAGCTGAAGCAATTACTGCAATCAAATGTCACACACCAAACTTATGCATACCGAAAGAGAGTGTAGTGAATCTCTCACTCCCTTGGTAACCATATCACTTTCATTACACTGATTAGTCATACACACTAGTGAGCTCAACTCGCTAAGCAAGTTTTCAAATTGATGAACTTTGACCTTGTTGAGTGGCCATGTTGACACTGTTTATTAGATTTTTCTGTTTTCTGTCTTCTCTTACCCCCTATTTTTCTTTTTTCATAGTTCGACAGTATATAAATTGATGGTGACTTAGATTATAATACTTATATATATATTCCAGAGGCGTTCACCTTATAATGTCTTCTCTATTACCTTTCAAACAATGAAGTATGAAATGTTATTATTTATAAGCATTGTAATTTCAGGTAGTGGTTTGCAGTTAGCTGATGAGAACCTGTGAAAAAGAATGATGATATCACATTTTATACTGCAAATCTGGTCTTTCTTTCTTTCTCTATCAAAATTTATCAAGAGAACCAAATGTATGAAATAGTCAGACTACTTTTAGTTCATAAGCTCACATAGGTAATACAAGGTTTCCATTAAAAGGAGATAATTGTGAACAGGAGAACTAAGTCCACTCAAGCCATAATTAATTCAGGTGCATTCACTTTTTTTTACTCTGAATCGTAGAGTTCAAACTTATGTTTGAAGCAACGCCTCCTTATGTGGTGAGAGCAGGCTGCTAGCCAATCGGTAGACATGAATCTACGTCAATGTCTAGGTCACTAATATTGGCCGTGAGAAAATATGAACAAGGCTGATTCAACAAACAATCACAGAAAACTTTACGTGGGCAAATATGATTCGAACATAGATAGATGGCTCCACTTTTCGATGATTACACGAAACAACCAGTCAGAAACCTGCGTTTGTCTGGTTAACTTCTGAGAAACAACGAATCAGAAGACTGCGTTTGTCTACTTGAATAAGCTATAATAATGCACAGGAAATATATATAAATACGTGTTGATTTCCGTAATAAAACGATGTGTTTCCGGCCCTTGTCTGCTGTTGTTACATTTGATGTCTCTGCCTCCAAGAAAATTAAGATCCCGCGGCCAACTGCTTCTTGCGTGACTTCGAGGCCGTCGCTGAGCTTGTGGCTGTCAAGGAGCAGGCGGCGAAGGCAGGTGTCCTGGGAACGCTGTTGAGAGGCCGAGCGAAGGCAGCATATGACAGCGTAGACGGGTCAAATGGCACAGCGTCTTAGAAGAAATTGGTTGAACGATTGGTGTCGGAGTTTGACAGCTCAACAGACAGACAGCTAGCAGCCTGCTCTCACCGTAGTCATAGTGTTCTTAAGTGTCTGTAAGCCATTGTTCTTCGAGATTGTTAGAGTGAATTGGACATGTTACGGATTAGGAGAGCGGGTAACCAACCCCTCTCAATATATTTTAGGTCGATCATACAGACGTGAAATTGTTGAACTATACGGTTGAATAGTCTCACAGGTCTGCTAGCTGATCACTGATTCGCAAAATGAAGAATATAATTCTACGTATTCTACGTACGTTCTTATACGCAACAGTTTGAAATTCGGATGATTCGAAATAATAATTCAATTCTCTGAGTAGAGTTGACACACACGGCACACGGTTGGTGACCTTCTCCTCAGATAGCTAGGACAACCCATCCTCGCACTTATATCATCAGGGTCTGGCTAACAGATCTCAGTGCTTGACATCGTATAAAACATGGATGGAAGAAGAAGAAACAGCATTATTACATTACATTGCATGCCCTTAAAGCAGTTTGATAGACTGTTTCTAACATGTCAGACGAATGTCTTATTCTAACCTACAAATGTACACCATGGTGTTACAATGTGGATTTCTGCTGCAGTCGAATTTTCATCATCTAAACGGCAATATTGATGAAGAGATCTATCATACATAGATATTTTAAGTTCTTTAAATGTTTAGTTACAACAAACTACAATTATAAATTTTAATATTATTGGAACTAGATGATAAACATTTCTACACAGGACAGTAATATTAGTTCACACATAATATGAAAGTTAGCATAACGGGACTAGTTAGTTAGTGCACAAAAATAACCATAGTTACTAAACAGAATATATATGTATATATTTATTAATCACTCCTTTAGGACTCCTCTTGCTTTCTTTCGCGTTGCTGTCGTTTGTCTTCTTTTTTGTCTCACCACTTTAGCTTCCACTTGACTTTTTCAATGAGAATGAAGTGTGTGGATATTTGACCATTTACAATGACAAATGATCTGCAAACATTATTGGTCCCATATCTTACAATTCCTTCGTAAATTACGCCTTACCTTCCCCCACGACGCAACCTGGATTACAGTTGTGGAATATACTCTTATACCAATGAAAAAGT